CAGAGCCCTCTCAGACCCTTTTCATCTACTGCTCCCTCTGCCTAGCAGGCACTTGCCCCTCACATCAGCCCTGTGCTGTCACTTAATGTCCCTCCTAAGATACACCTAATGTTCCTTGACACTCTGAATTCCCTGCAGCGCCCTCAAAATGCCTGAGCTTTCTGTGTGCTTATTGCTTGTTGGCTTCTGCCCCGACTAGACTGGAAGCTCCATAAGGACAGGGATCTAGGGATCTTGGGCGTCTTATTCCCTGCTCTTTCCCCAGTGCCAAGCTCCGTGCCTGCAAATAGTACATGTTCCAACATATTTGCTGGATCCATGGATTGGTTGAAGAAGGCAAGTGAGAAAGGAAAAGTTGTGTCCTGCTGTTGTTCACTGCGCGGAAGATGTAGACTGTTGGGGAGCAGAAGGGAAGCACTGGACACGGCCCTCAAAATCTGCAAGCTCCATTCTTCCAGCCTGGCTGAGGTCACTGTGCTCCTGTCAAGCCTGGCTTGTAGATAAAGTTGCCCCAAGGTATACGGAGTGCACACCCTGCCCCCTGTTCCACACCGCCCTGAGCCAGACTCACCTCCTCTGGCAGCAAGTGGTAAAGCAGAGGCTCCAGGAGCCATTCCGTCCATCACTCAGCAGGAAGAGCCACAAATCCTGAGGTCTCTGTCTGCATGTGTCATGCTCAAGGGTAAACTTGCCACTGCTGTGGCGCACGGCCACTCCTCCCCACTGACAGCCGTGCTGGCTCAGGGACTTGCCCAGTGACGAATCTGTTGTCTGCTCAGCAGCATCCACTGACCAAGGTTGGGGCCAGGGCCAGGTGTCTGCCAGAGTTGGAAAAATTTACAGCCAAGTACTCTTTGGATAAACTTTTCTGGGGACAAGATATGGAAATCCCATCATGAATGCCCAGCCAAGGGCAAGGAGCATTAGCACCATCCCCCAATAGTGTCACCCCATCTCCCCCAGATGGACAAGGAATCTTCTCCTGGGTCATGCCCCAGATCCCCTATCCCAGACCTAGATCCCCAGAAGCCCATTTCCATACTAACTTGAATTAAAAGGATAACCACTTGCATTCCATTTGACCTGGAGTGGTGGCCAGGAGCATCCACTTTGCAGTCTGACAGACCTGAAGTTGATCCCAGCTCCTTTCTATATTCATTATATGGCCCTGAGCAAGTTACACCTCCAGGTCCTCGGTAAAAGTGAGTAGCAGGAGGTCTTTGTCAAGTGCAGTGTCTGGTGCAAAGTTAGCACTCAAAAATGGCACTTGCTGTCATTCGTAAGATGTTGTTGTCATCATCATTTGTGTCACTATCTATCTTCTCAGCCCAGGAACAGGAGTCAAGAAGCAAGACCCACCTTCCTTGGCCATAAGCTCTGAAGCCAGAGTCTGTTTTTGCAGAAAAGGTGATAAGAAGCAGCCATGGTCCTGGAGGACTCTCCCAGAAGCCCCAGCAGCAGCCCTGGGACAGCATCTGTAGGCTTCAGGAGCATAGACTTCAAGGTAGGTGTGTGTGTGTTTCAGAAAATAGCAGACACAGGGTTGCCTTCAGGGCCACCCCACTTATTCACCCCCACCTGGGTCTCCCTGCCTCCATACACACCCCCTGCCCACCATAGCCAGCCGTGTTTTCCCATTCTTCCCCTTCACCCCACACTCATTAAGACTTACTTTTCTCCTGTCCCAAACCTTAAAGCCCCACTTAGGACACTCACTAAGTGGCAGCAGGTCATTGCATCAAGCAATGATGCTACCCTCCCCAAAAAGCAAGTCTGCATTTTCACAGAGCCCTTGCACAGTCTCAGCTTTAGCAAAAGACATGACTTTAACAGTAGGCTTCTGGCACAGTGTCAGAGCAGTGCAGTGAGATTAGGGAATGAGTGGATTGCCAGTGCTACTCTGTCATAGCTGGCAAGATACCTCCTTGGCCAATGCATAGGACCTTGAGCTTCTTGAACAGGAGTGTTCTGTTTTTCCTGTCCTTCTGGGAGCTACCCTCAGAAAGCTTTCCTCAACCCTGCAGGAGCTGAGGGGAAAGTCAAGTCACAGCCTGGCCCAGCTATACAAAGTGATGATTGGCGCCTCCCTACTTCTCATCGCCAGAATCTAGGGCCATGATCCATCTGCCTACCCTTCTTCATTGTAGTTTTTCTGCTCAGGCCCAGTGTCAGGAGTAGGAGTGGAGCCCTGCCAGGGCAGCTCTGGGCTGGGGGAGCTGCAGGGTCAATTCTCTCCTAATCAGCACTCTATCCCCTACGGTAACAGCCTGATAGCTTTAATGAGGACCTAATGCCCCTGAAGACTCTAGAAGTGTCAACCATGATCACATAGATGCAGACAAATGGCCCACTTTCATGCAACAGGTTCAATCAAGATCTGCAGTGTGGACAACCTTGTGAGACCTTCCAGTTGCCTCCTGTCCCAACCACATGCCTTTCCCTCCTTCTTATAGAGAGGCATGGGGATCCCTCCAGGCCAGCCAATGCCATGTGGAGCTGTTTCTGAGCTGTGTCCCTCAGCAAGAGCCCCTCAGTGCAAAGAACCTGTAACCCGACCACTTGCAACTCAGCACCCACACTGCGCATTCTGACTCCAGGGCCGTCGTGAGGAATCCTTTCCTGGTCAGTCACTCATGTAGTGAGAATCTACTGCACTTCCCAACACTAGGCAAGATGCTTCCCCAGGGACCCGATTCAGTCTCCTTGTTGGTGAGAGGTGTTACAGTCTCCCAGGCCTGTCTTGAATTTTTCTTAACTTCCCAGTTCTTTTAAGCATTCAAAAAGACCCTCCTCCCTACCCCCACTCCGGGTTCTTGTGTAGGGATGCAGTAGTCATCCAGGTCACTCCTTGAGCCTTTTCTGAGTTCTGCAGCTACTAACACCATTCATTAAACCTTTTTGTTACAATTCCATGCTTGGATTCCATGCTTATTTACAATGACAAAAGTAAAAATTACTGACAGTTACAGATTGCTGCACAGGATGTGCAGTGAGGAGAATTCTTATATGCAGAAATGCAGAATGGTACTGCCACCCTACAAAGCAGTCTGCCAGTTTCTTCAAAAGTTTATTATACGACATAGCAATGTTGCTCCTAGGTATGTTTACCAGAGAAGTGAAAACTTACATTCTCACAAGAACCTGTGCACAGATGTTTGCAGAAGCATTATTCATAATTACCAAAAACTGGAAACAACCCAAATATCCTTTAATGGGTGAATATATAAACAAAATGTGCTGCAGCCATACAATGGCATATTACTCAGCAGTAAAAAGGAACTGACTGTGGATGTACAACACCATCGGTGACTCTCACGTGCGTCAGGTTGAATGAGAGAAGCCAGTCTCAAAAATTCCATGCTGCTGACTCTATTTGTATGAAATTCTGGAAAAGGTAGAACTATAAAGACGGAGAACAGATCTGTGCTGGGGAGGGGGAGAAACTGGGATATGGGAGCTGTTCTGAGTCCTATTTTAGTGGTGATTCCATGAATCTGTGCATGTGAAAATGCATATAGCTGAAGAGGGAAAAAGTTAATTTTACTGTTTGTGAGTTAAAATTAAAAAAAAAAAAAAAGGAAGGTTACCTTAAAA